ACTTGGTATGGCGATTTGGCTCTTACCCACTAAAACTTGCCTTCAGAATTATTGGTAAAGTTCGAAGAATTTTCAAGGAACATTACATCATATTTTTGGATTTGTCCACTAATACCCTGCTCATAAACTATATAGATATATAAAGAAATGTTATTTATATATTTCATAATTCAGTCCACTTTTTTAAAGTTCTTCTCTTTATAAAATTCCCAGAAGCTTATAGTGATATTCACTGTAGAAAGTTTATCTACTTTAAATGGAAAGAACCATGAGTACAAGCTTTTTTCTTCCGGAACTTTTAGAGGTATTGCTGATGCTGCACCTGATTGGACCTTTTTTTTTTCAACTTCCAATGAAATATCGCCAAGTGTCATTTGTAAAAAAATTATGTGAAGAAATTTTGTAGCGTTGTTCACTTTGAATTTCAGTCTCTATACAACTTCATATCCTTTCATTAATTACATTAAAATTGAATCAGAGCCAGGTATAAGTTGGAGGATTGATTCGAAAAAGGCTTAATAGCATAACTAAAAAATATATAGATTAAGTAAATAATTGCTACATTGAGCAAAAATTGAGTTTAATTGCAATTAAAATGATGTAATAAATAAGGGTATGTTTGATAGATATTATTGGGGAAATAATGTATTTTAAATAGTGATATGATGAGAAATACGGGGTTAAAAAGTAAAGAAAAGTTATTGATGTGATTGACAATATTATTTTATTGAAAAATGTGTAGTTGAAATGAATTATGAAATAATGTATTTTTAAAGAATATGTGTCAAACATGAACATTGTGATGACAATATAATTGTCCAAAATTAAAAGGTCGAAGGATCGAATTGTGGGCAAAAAGTAAATAAATCTAATCTTTTTTAAAACGAATGAACCGGTAAAATTGGTTCCGGTTCACACATTCTTTTTTTGGCGTACACGCTGGTTTCGAAATTCTTTTATTATATGTAATTTGTTAACCCCGAAAAATGTAGCCAATAGATGTCGGGCCCACTCGTGCACGTGCAAGCCTTGTCCAGCACTCGTGTGCCGAAGAACGGTCAGAAAGACTCCAGAAGGTGGAAGTGGGAGGAGCTCGCCGCACGAGATGTCAGAGTTCGGGACTCCGGCAAGAGAGATTGAACGATTGTATAAAAACCCAATCAATGAATAACGAGATTTGTAATTGTAAATCTGTAGTTGAAATATATGTTGAAGAACAAGAGGAAAAATATTTTACATTGACAAGACAAGACATAGAATTTACTTTATACAAAAGTCACGTCAATCATTCACACGGATCTTTTATCATTACAATATCTTTCCAAGTGGTCTTCTTTCACGCGAGATTTGGGCCTGGGATGACAGTGAAGGCATAAGAACTGTCTTCAGGGCCTCGGAGCAATAGTCAGGGCCTCGGAACTGTAGCCGGGCCTCAGAATCCACGTCAGAGGCTAGGAGAATACGTCCTGGCCTGAATAAGCTGGTTCCACCACTGAAGTATGGTGCCAGGTGTCGCTTCTATATTATGACTCGTAACATAATCAGATCGAATTTCAATAGGTGTCAACACGGCGCCAAAATAATGTTATTTATTATGTCGAGTAAGATTGTTGTTAAAAGACAAGCGTGTTTACTATATGATTTAAGCAAAATCTTATCGGAATTAATGCCGCATTACGTTTTCGCATCTAAATGCGGTTAATCCTCGATTCCCAGCTCTTCACTTTTATTGACTTCACGTATTAAATAGAATTATGCAATATGTACAAACCAGATATCATGATGTGAAAATAACTATAGTAAATATTGGCGTAATTATTTATGCAATTAACTCAATAAATTATAACATTGAATTTCACGACCCTTAGAATTGTTCTGACCTAATACCAATAAAGCCTATTCTTGTCATTTCGATTCCCCGCGTGATGTCCCATTCTACAAAAGAGAATTAAAGAGGATTATGTTGGAATATTCTCACTAAGTACGATTTATCCTAGGACATTTGTAACAAGATAAAAAAGACATGATATTTGTCTCTATTTAGATAATGTATATACCAATAATCATATGTACTTTATCGTTGCTCAATCTATTAAGTGTTACATTAAAGTTAACGAATAGCAATATTCAAAATATACAAATTGATCCGAACATACACATTTCAAAACTCTAGAAGTCGTGTTGCAAGATTTGAACGATGGGGGACCATTTGCACAATAATCTTATTGGTTAGGGATCATTTAACCACATATTCTCTAATAAAATAATATTATACGTAAATAAAAAAAAAATTCTTCTATTTTAATCACATATTCTCTCAAAATATATCATTTCCAAAAAATCTCATTATAATGGGGGCCAAACAATGGTTAAATATCACATTAAGTGAGAATAATTTTTTGAACATTTATAGCCTTACTATAATTTAATTATTTTAATAATACTTTGCTTTTCATTTTTCAATATGTATTTAATTTATTTAACCATTTAATTATACACGCGCGCGTGCACACACATACACACATTTGATAGATTCATTTCATTTGTGTGCTTTCGTTGATGATTGATGTAAGAATTCTCTATTACTAATTCTTAACTAATTAACATTCACATTCATTTAATTAATATTCATCTTCATTTATAAGTTTAAATGCTATTAATTATAATTAAAAGTAAATTATAATTTCACGTTCAAGAATTTATTTTATTATTCACGTCCATGTATACTAATTAACATATAATTTTACTTAATTGAAAATTAAATAAATAATTTAACAATCATTGTCATGTATATATATTCTCTGGTATTAATTTTAAATTAATTAACATTCACGCATATTCAAATATCACTTTTACAACACTTATAAAGCATGTCATGCACATTCTTCGTTGACTAGTTAAATGAAGTTTGACAAACCCATGTACAACCTTAGGAAAAAAAAATCTATTCACTAATCAAAACTTCAATAATAAAACTTTTCTTCGCTTTTCAAGTTTCAACTTTTCCTTATTCTGGACAAGTTTTATAATCAACCTCTTAAAACAAAATTAGAAGTTCAATGCAAAAACGTGCAAACTTATCCTCCTCATCCGACAACTTCTTATGTATATTGCATAAATAATTAGTCTAAATGTACACAATCCATTACATAATGGATTACATCCCTCTCACATGGAGGGGGTCCACACACAATAAAATATTCGTGGGCTCCCCTCCATGTAAGAGGGGTGTAATCCATTATGTAATGGATTGAGCATACATCTAGCACAACCCTTGCATAAATAGGACCTCTAGAGAAATCATAACTTTGATACACCCCTCATTATAGTTATCAATAAATGAAATGTTTTCAACATATTCTTATAATCTAATTCTGATCAATACTGTGTATTGAGCACACAACTCTCTAACTATTTATATCTTGACTCAATCCAATCATTATTGAACATGCTTAGAATGTTTTCAAGATATCTGTTCGATATCCTGTATCGACCAATTTTACTAACAGATCACTTTCTCTCGTGTATGCAAAAAGAGATGCGGCTCTCAGTGATGTTCACCAACCCTTGTTTTAAATTAAGTTTTTCACATGAAAATGAACAACTTTCTAGATTCCGTCTAGCGATAATGGAAAAACCAAAACTTGTATATAATAAGTCAATACTCGATCAATCGAGTTAGGGGCGGGTTGACCATATGTTCGAATCAGCCACTTTTGTCGTGGACATCTTGTGGTTATCAGTTGATATTTTCAAGATAACTCAACAATATGCTTGATCACTAAGGGTGCATTTAATTTTCTATTTTCAAGCCCTATTTTAGTTTTGAGTTTTGCAAAACATTGAAATGTGTTTGATTTGGTGCATTTGAAAATGCATTTTCGAATACAATATTAAATTTATAACATAAACTTCAAAATACATTTTTGATGTTTTGAGTGTTTTCATTGAAAATATTAAAAATATGGAAAGCAAGTGTTTAAATAAAAATAAATAAATAAAATTTTAAAAATAAAAAAAATTCAAAAAATAAAAATATAAAATTTTGAAAAACTACAATTCTTAAAAAAAAAAATTTCTAAAAATATAAAAAAAAATCATAAAATTTTCTAAAAAACAAAAAAGTTATAACAAATAAAAAATAAAAATAGTTCAAACTTTTAACGATTATTTACATAAAAAATTTAAAATGATATTTAAATGAACATACATAAAAATATTCGTAGTCCAAGTCATTAAATTTTGTTTTTAATTCATATATATATATTTTTTTACTTTTGTAGCAAAAGAAACTTGTAAAATTTTCATTAACTTTAAAATGTATATATTACTTAATAATATATTAATATAAAATTGTTATATTTTTACAGATTAATAAAGTTTTCATAGAATAAAATGCTACAAAACAAATTTTTAAAATTTCAAACCAAACATATTTTTTAATTTTTTGTTTTGAAAAATAATTTTTCAAAATGATAATACAAACAAATTTTTAACAATCTTAAAACAGAACCTCGAAACGAAAAACTAAAAATGAATTTAAAATTGAAAACTGAAACACAAACCAAATCATACAAACGAACCTATTCTTTCTTCTTTCTTAATTTTTCCCTCTACCAAACACATCCTGACTTTCCGTTATGCCCAATGCAAACGGCGCGCTCTCTTCCCTATTTCTTATTTCTAAACCAATTCCATTTCAACTCCTTTTACATAAATACCCTTTATTTTTCACTCTTATTTCAATTTAACCCCTAATTTATAACTCAACTGCCTCGGGCCATTCTCTCTAATCCATGATTTCATTATTAAATTCTTCAAATGTCAATGCAAATTGTTCACCATTTTGTACTTTTCTCTCAATTTCTTGCTCATTTCTTTGACTATTTCTCGAGTATATATAAACACCTGTGTGTATACAGTATAGTTGAATAGTTTTACGCGCAATTTGAACTCAATTGGAAGAGAAGTCGAGAAAAAAAGAGGAGAATTTTGAAGAAATGAATCAAATGATGGTGGTAGAAGCGGCGATGGAGTTTCTGATGCCGTCATGGTGGGAGGTGCAAGTCACGGTTGCGGCAGTGGCCTTCGTGTTGGTGGCGTACTGGTTTTTCACTCTAGGTGGCGAGGCATGCGGCGGCTGCTTTGATCCGATGTCAGTTGATGGTTCCGGTGGCAGTGTAGATGTAATTGACGAAAGAGACAAGGTCATATTTGTTATTTTCGCTAATTTGGATTGATAGTTGCAACTTTGACGTTGATTTGTTTTTGATCAACAAATTATTTTGATTTCTCTTGAGATTTCAATTTTCCTCTCTCTCTTTTTATCTGTCCTTGAGACGTAGTCGATGGAACAAAAAGTTTAAATTTACTTATTTTTGTAATTTATTTGTAACTGCCAAGAACATGTATATTCGAAAAATTTATATTGACATATTAACGGATCACTTTTATATTTTATTTCATTCAATATTGTTAGTTCCCGGAGTAATTTATCACTTGTTTGACATGCAGTCGTGCACTTATTTTGTAGATTGGCCAGTTTAAGGGAGACCCTGAAACTAATTCTGCATATTTAATCAAGGTAACTTTATTCTTGTGATGGCAACTATCTTTTGGTTTTTTGAGCATTATAGTGATTCTTGTATTGTTTTTATATATAAAAGCGCACTTTGCAACTATCATAGTCCAATTAACACTTGAGATATTATTTCATGAGTTTCAGGTGGAACTTTTAGCAGCAAAGAATCTTATTGGTGCAAATTTGAATGGCACATCAGATCCTTATGCAATTATCACTTGTGGTACAGAAAAGCGCTTCAGGTGAATGCAATTGATTTGGTCTTGTCTTGGCCTGAAGAATTGATGAGTTTGAAGGGGCATACTGCATTCCTCTTCTAATTTCAAGTTGATTATGACGTAGGATGAAGGCAAATATTTGTGAGCATCAATGTCATTTGATGTTGATGTCTGTTTTTACCTTTGATTTTATATTAGTAGTTATTGTTTTCTGTTTATAAAACCCTAGTGGAGTATACATTTCATTTGGCAATGCAAACTTCATTAAGGGGCATTTTTAGTGCCAATTTTGCACTCATTCAAGTACAGGGTGGTTTGTTGCTTTTTTTTATCCCCTTTTAGCAACCTAAAAGATTTCCATTTCTGTTATTTCATCTGTGATTTCTAAATTCATCATGAATTTGTAGCGTAGTTTTAGATCTATACTTAGTTTTCTTTGTTTACTTGTCTTATTAGCCAATCGAATGAAGTGGACTGATTTTGGAATACTATGTTTCTTTATTTACAATTTCTCTTGGTTTATCTGTGAAATGTGGTAGTTCCAGATTGATTTTTAGTGGGAAATGATATTTTTATCTGTCTTCGTGAGCTGTATCCCTTTTTTCTTGATTATACACAATTTTTAGGTTTTGAGTTTGCCATCTCATACAAATAGAGAAAATGAATAATTTACTTAAGAAATTTGTCTGCATGATGACTATTGCATTTGGAACTGCAGTCCTCTTTGTGCTCTCTACAATGATACGATGTCCTTCAGAATGGCATTATTGGATGCTTTAAAATTTTGAGCTATGTAATCTAAGTGCTGGTTGGGAATAGTTTTAATTTTATTTGTTATTTTCTTGTATGCATGCTTTATATATGTCAGTATGAGATCTGATGTAACTTTATTGCGTACTAAGACAAAGGTTCGTATTCATATCCTTAAGATTCATATGGTGATTTTTTGCAGTTCAATGATTCCAGGCTCTAGAAATCCTATATGGCGAGAGAAGTTCAATTTTTCTGTGGATGAACTTCCTGTACAGGTAGTTGTTTTACATCCATACTTGTGTGATTAAAAGCGTGAAATATGACTTAGCAATTGGATCGCATTATGATTGGGTTAAATCCAATTTTGCTATAAAATTTTAGTTATCAGAACAAAAGAATACTTTTCTTACTTTGTCCTCAACAAATCAAAGATTAGTTAATGCCAGATGGAATAGATCCAATCATATGAATCTGTGGTTTAGGCTATCAACTATGTACGAATATAATTTTGATTGCTGAAAAACTTCACGGGAACCTTTTTCTTTGGAATGCTTCTTTGAGTAATGTTTCAATCAAATATTTTACTTCAATATACATTTCAGTTATATCCTAATCCTAAGGTTTTATGTCATTCCCTAAAACTATGGTATCTAGCTCAGATTAAGTATAGAACTGGAACTATACAAGCTTTTCTTAAAATAATATATACCAATCTAAGTAAGGATTTTCATCTGAATTTGAAAATGAGAAAGGTTTAATAATTAGAAAGCAGATTTATAAGTACAGCTTCTTCTTCTTCTTCTCTGAAATGTGCATGTTTAAGTATTCTAGCAGGTATGTGATTTGTAGTTCTGGTTCTTGAACGGATTCTTTTATGAATTTGTATGGGCAGATTAATGTGACAATATATGATTGGGATATAATTTGGAAAAGTGCAGTTCTTGGTTCAGTGACAATTCCTGTGGAAAATGAAGGACAGACTAGTGCTGTATGGTATTCTCTAGACAGTACATCAGGGCAGGTGCCATACTGTTCAAATTCTGCTCTCTGAAGATTTACTACACCTCGATTGATAGTTATTTTGTGATTATGACATGTTTTTTTGCTATTCAGGTCTGTCTTCATATTAAAACACTAAAGCTACATGTGCATTCTCCCAGGTATAATTTTGTTTAATTCTTTTTCGATAATTATTCCCTTGTCATTCTTGTTGTGCTAGTCATGTTGACTGTTAATGAGAATCTAACTGGCTCTTATGTTTACATAGCTATAGTTTGGACTTTGGGTACATTTGATATGTTTTAGCTATGCCTCCATCTGGTCAGGAAAATGCTTATTTATTTGCAGGGGAAACATAGGAAATTTTTCGGTTTAGTAGTATTTTTTATCTGAATTTTTGAAGCTATGCTATTTTTTAACCTTAGAGCTGTGTTCTGTAAGTGCTAACATTTGCTATTTGTTGTTTTTAACACTTTATATCAATCTTTGAAAAAATAGAATAGTCCATTTCATGCAATTTGTTATATATATTTCTGCTGGCACTTAACAAATGGAACTGTTACTTTCTGTTTCAGATATGAATGCTAACCTGTTTAATTATCATGCCACGTCTTTTCCTCAATGACATTTCTATTTTAGTAAGCTGCTGATATTCCTGAGCCATTGCTCTTATAGGGGTTTGAATGCCTATGCTGGTGCTATCAAGCGAAGGAGGCCTAAGGATAAACAAGGGCCTACAGTTGTTCATCAGAAACCTGGGCCACTGCAAACAATATTTAATCTTCCTCCTGATGAGGTATGGTTATGAACTTATTTTGAAGACATGCTTAATTATTGACATCTCTTTGGAGTGATTTCAGTCTAGGTTTGGGCAAAATGTAATCACTTTTTTATTTATATTAGTTGAATGGAATTGATGATATTAATTAGGGTGTTTTCCAGGTTGCCGAACATAGCTATTCTTGTGCGCTTGAGAGGTCATTTTTATATCATGGCCGTATGTACGTATCAGCATGGAACATCTGCTTCCATTCTAATGTATTTTCGAAGCAAATGAAGGTCAATCTCTGAACTTTGGTTGCCATGATTAATTTAGCTTCTGCTGAGAGTTCATTCTTTTCAAAAAGAAATCCTTTAATATTTTGCATAAAATTTGAATTTTCTGTCTAAATTTTTCAGGATTTAATGTATAATATTATATGTGATATGTTTTTTATTGTCTGGCGCATGTAACTGGTCCTCATATATCATATTGTCAAGAGCTCTGTTGAAAAGTCAATGATGTCCCTTTTACATGATTGGAAATATAAAATCAGCTGTTTGTTTTCCCAACTTTTGCGTATATAGCAGGATCTCTACATCTTATGTTCTCAAGAGATTTTCTTAACTGTTCATGTTTCTCATTTTACTATTACATGTCTTGAAATTTTGGTGACGAGATGCATAGAATATATCTGAACCACTTGGCCTAAAAGCTTAACATAAGCTGTCAGATAAACTCAAATGTGTATCATTTAAATCTTATCTTCAACACAACCTTTACGTGTAGACGAGATTCATTTTTTCCCCTATTGAAGTTTACACATGCGCAATTTTTAATAAATGAGTGGCAAGACTTTGAACACAGGACGCTTGCCTACTCTGATACCATGCTAAGCCATATGGTCTAAAATCTTAAATGTAAGTCTTGTGTATATCATTTAAATATTATCTTCAATAATATATACATTTGACCTAGGAAGTGACACTTGGATTAAAGACTTATGTTGATATCCTGGTTCCTTTGTGCATAGCCATAAGCATTGCATTTCATGAAGTTAATTATGTAAATGTTTAACAATGGAATAATATTATTAACGTAAGCTCGAAATCTAGTATAAATGGACAAGTGCCACTACCTCGAGAAAAAATAAATTAGAGCAGCGGAATGTGCACAAACCATCAATTAGAAGGTTTATGAACGTAGAAGTTGATATCTATTTAACTTGATTCTCGAGGCTTATTCATAAGCATAGGTGAATCAAAGATGACTTCTTGAGGCTTGCCTTGATCTCAAAGTTGATCACTTTAAGAATTCAACCCAACTTTACTACCTCACTCCAAAAGTCACCTTACAAACGCCTTTCAGAGTTATTGTAAAGAATAATTTTGCAGTATAGCGTATCCACATTTTAGTTATACAGAAAGAAGTCTTGGAAGTTAATTAGTCTCCATGATGGTTTACAATTAATCCTATTTGCAATTATCTACCTTTGGAAGTATTTTTTTTTGGTGCTCTTTGGGGAATTCATCTTGCCAAGACATTCTCTGTACCATTTTGACTCATCTAAGCAAAATCCATTGGAAATACTCAAGTGTAGACCTCATGACAACATAGCTCTTTTCTGTAATAATCTGATAGTCGATAAGTAGTTTTGGTGCCTCCAAACACCATGTGATGCCTTATTGATGTAGACATCATGCCAAGGAAGCATATTTTCTTCACTGCTCTTTGTAAAAGGTTGAATCATGTTTTTCCCTAAAACCTAGGCTCTGGGTCTACCTCTTATTGAAGGCATTTGCTTAATGTTGCACGTTTTCTATTATATTTTTGGATCTATGGTGGGATGCCTATTTTCTTAGAAACCATCCAATGAATTGAGTCAAAATTTGCACGTCTATGTTAAGATAAATATTGAAGGCTATACTACTTTCAAGCATCTGGTTTGAAATGAACAGTTCACTTAAGGCTTGTGATTGTCCTTTTGGTTTTGGACTTCAGCTGTATGCTACTTGGTCTTTCCGGGCATTGCTTCTCTTATGTTTACATTTCCATTTTGACAGGTAATTATACCAATTGGAGACATAGATGAGGTACATGCTGCTTCCATATCCTCTTGCGATGCTGAACTTTTGATATTTCTAGTGGGCTTTAAATGTATGGATAAAATTAACTGAATTTATATAGTTTTGCCATTTCAGTTAAGGAGGAGCCAGCATGCATTTATCAATCCAGCTATTACTATAATTCTTCGTATGGGTGCTGGTGGACATGGCGTGCCTCCTTTAGGAAATCCTGATGGTTAGTAATTAGGTTTTCGTCTAAGTCACTCTGATGATTTTTTATCTATAATCTCTCGTATGTTTGAATGGAGCATGTAGTCAACTACTGTATAAGCATTTGTAAAATTCTTCTGGTCATATGCACCTTTCAAATTTTGCACAGGTTTATAGAAAGTATACACTGATGTGATGTCACAAGATGAAAAGAATTTGGTATCACCTTTGAATTTGGCATTGGAATTGAAATATGACTCACGAGACAGAGGAGGGAATTATATGGTATTTCTTATTCATACATAAATCCCTTAGGTTTACATATATACACAAGTCTAATAGTATTTACAAGACAAGTCCCTATAGATAACATTCTATACATTAGGGTATTATATGTTTACTCTTGTAACACTCCCCCTCAAGCTGGAGCATAGATATTTATCATGCCCAACTTGTTACAGAGATAATCAACCCGAACCCTGTTTAGAGCCTTTGTGAATATATCTCCCAATTGTTCTCCTGTCTTCACATACCTTGTCGAAACCAGTCCTTGCTGAATCTTCTCATGAATGAAATGACAATCAATCTCGATGTGTTTCGTTCGTTCATGAAAGACTGGATTAGATGCAATATGAAGTGCAGTTTGGTTATCACACCACAACTTAGCCGGTATTAAAGTCTTGAGGCCCACTTCAGTGAGGAGCTGATGTATCCACATTATCTTACACACACACTTAGCCATAGCCCTATATTCTGATTCTGCGTTTGAACGTGAAACCACACTCTGCTTCTTGCTTTTCCATGAAACCAAATTTCCGCCAACAAATACACAATAGCCAGATGTAGATCTTCGATCTTCCTTGGATCCTGCCCAGTCAGCATCTGAAAAACATTCAATCCTAGTATGACCATGATTGCCATACAGAATTCCTCTCCCAGGTGCTCCTTTTAAGTAGCATAAAATTTGTTCTACAGCTCTCCAATGATCGACAGTTGGAGAAGACATGTACTGACTTACCACACTAACTGAATAGGCAATATCTGGACGAGTCACAGTAAGATAGTTCAACTTCCCAACCAATTTTCTATATCTTTCAGGATTTTCAAACAATTCACCATCTTTTGTAAGCTGCGAATTTGGAACCATTGGAGTGCTATATGGTTTAGCCCCCAAGTTTCCTGTATCAGTCAACAAGTCAAGCACATACTTTCTTTGAGATAAGAGGATCCCTTTCTTACTTCTCGTCACCTCAACATCCAAGAAATACTTTTGAGAGATGAAATACCACCAGAATCACTCCCAGTAATGACAATGTCATCAACATAGACAACTAATAGGATGATACCGGCTGCAGACTGCTTATAGAAAACAGAATGGTCGGACTTACTTTTCTTCATGCCAAACTTTTCAATAGCCTGACTAAACTTTCCAAACCAGGCCCGAAGACTTTGTTTCAAGCCATACAAGGATTTATGAAGATGACAAACTTTCCCATACTCCCCCTGAGCAACAAAGCCAGGTGGTTGCTCCAGATAAACTTCCTCCTGAAGATCACCATGAAGGAATGCATTCTTAATGTCTAACTGATGCAGAGGCCAATTATATGTGGCTGCCATAGAAATAAATAACCTGACCGACGTAAGTTTAGCAACAGGAGAGAAGGTGTCAGAGTAATCAACCCCATATGTCTGAGCATACCCCTTAGCAACAAGCCGAGCTTTTAATCTAGCAACAGTCCCATCCGGATTGACTTTAACTGCAAACACCCATTTACATCCAATAGCCTTTTTACCTGCAGGTAAGTGTACCAGGGTCCAAGTACCATTTTCATCTAAAGCATTCATCTCCTCAATCATAGCATTACGCCATCCAGGATGAGATAGAGCATCGTGAACAGTTTTAGGAATAGTGACAGAATCAAGAGATGCAACAAAAGAACAAGAGGATGGCGATAAATGGTTATATGACATGAAAGAAGATACTGGATAAGTACATTGACGTTTACCTTTACGAAGTGCAATAGGAAGATCATCACTCGAACTGGGAATTGGATCTGATGACGAAGGAACTGGTGCGGACATGAAGCAGAGGGTGGAGGAACAGGAACAGGAACCGGATCAGGAGCAGTAGATTGATGGCGGCGAGTGTAAACCTGTGTTATAGCAGGTGTAACCCGAGCAGATGAGGGAAGAGTAGAACTAGGGAATGTATACGTATAGATTAATAAATCATCATCATCCTCCCACAGACTGATAGAACCCGATGATGAAGTAAATGGTGTTTGTTCTAGAAATGTAACATCAGCAGACACAAGGTACCTATTAAGATTGGGACAATAACATCGATACCCTTTTTGCACACGTGAATAACCAAGAAAGATACACTTTAGAGATTTGGGATCAAGTTTTGTAACATGAGGTCGAACATCCCGAACAAAACAAGTACAACCAAATGTCCTAGGTTCAATAGGAAATAAGGACTTGTGAGGGAAAATGGCATGAAAGGGAGTCTCACCAGATAAAACGGAGGAAGGCATACGGTTAATCAGAAAATAGGTAGTAGAAACAGCATCAGCCCAAAAATGTTTAGGTACCTGCATTTGAAACAACAAGGCTCTAGCAGTTTCAAGAAGATGTCTATTTTTCCTTTCAGCAACTCCATTTTGAGATGGTGTATCAACACAAGAAGTTTGATGGATAATGCCATGTTGAACCATATAATTGTGGAAGTATTCTGATAAATATTCCTTAGCGTTGTCACTTCTCAAAGTTTTTACAGGAACATTAAATTGTGTTCTGATTTCAGCACAAAAAGCTGTAAAATGAGAGAACAGTTCTGAACGATTTTTCATTAAAAATAACCATGTCATTCGAGAATAATCGTCAACAAAGGTAACAAAATATTTAAACCCAGCTTTAGACACAACAGGACACGGACCCCAAACATCGGAGTGAACTAACTCAAAAGGGGCACTAGCTCTTTTATTGACTCTAGGACTAGAGCTCAAACGGTGATGTTTGGCAAACTGACAGGACTCACAATCTAGTGAAGATAAACTAGAATACTGAGGATAAAGTTTCTTTAACACAGGCAACGAAGGATGACCGAGCTGACAATGTGCTTCAAAAGGGGTCACAACTCCAGAACAAGCAAGACTTTGGTGTTTGTGTATCAAGAATGTAGAGGCCTCCAGATTCATGTCCTTTACCAATAATCTTCTTCGTCATAAGATCCTGAAACAGACAAAATTTAGGATAGAATGAGACACAACAATTAAGAGAACGAGTGAGCTTACTGATAGAGACTAGATTAAAAGACAATTTAGGTAAACTTAAAACAGAGTGTAAAGGAATTGAGGGTGTTGGAATAATTGTGCCGGAACCCAGAACATGAGATGTAGACCCATCTGCTAGAGTAACTGTAGAACTAGAAGCATGTGACTGGAAAGAAGAGAATAGACTAGAATTACCTGTCATGTGATCTGTGGCACCAGAATCAATGACCCATTTCGAAGATGAAGAAACAAGGCATGTGTTCATTTTACCTGAATCAGCGATTGCAGTGATAGGAGTAGATGAAGACTTTAGAGATTCTTGATATTGTGAGAACTTGGCATACTCATCTGCAGATATTAGAATATTCTCAGAAGCATCATTAGTAGATGCAACATGGGCTGACTGGTTCAACTGATTCTTGCGCTACAACTTTCTACAGTCTCTCTTCACATGTCCTGGCTTTTGACAATAGTGACATAGCACACCTCCTGAACCCTGTCCTCGAACATAAACTTTCAATCGTAGTTACTTAAGTTTCCCCCCTTATTGTCATTTCTAAATGACTGTCTCCCAGATTCAGAGGTGCGACTGACAAGAGCACTATTAGGGTGAGTAGAAGCTGAATATTTTGTGCGGAGTACCCTACTAAAAACTTCTTCTAAAGAGGATATATCAGGGCTAGATAGAATTTGAGATTTAGCAGTCTCAAACTCAGAAGGAAGACCAGCCAAGAAGCTCATAACCGCCATTTTTTCTCTCTGAACTTGCTGAACTTTGACATCAGTACTGAATGGAAGTAGCATATTAAGCTCCTCATGAGTCTTTTTAAAATTCATAAAGTAGTCGGTAAGAGATCTGTCGCCTTTTTCTGCACGATAAAAGGCTTGACATACCACATAAGTGTGTTTGATATTTCCCTTGCCAGAGTACACAAACTCCAAATACTCCATTAATTCTTTCACAAATTCACAGTGATTTATCAAACCAACCACCTCACTATCAATGGAATTACGTATTTGCAAAAACAGACGAGCATCATCCCTTAGCCATGAGGCTTTTGAACTATCACTAGGTGGTTCATCAGTTAAGTGATTATCCATAGCAATATACTCCGCAAATACAATCTTATAGTTTTACTCCAATCCAAATAATTAGATCTACTAAGTTTATGTTCCGTGATTCTTGACATCATAGGAATCACTTCAGACACAACCACAGATGTCTTATCCTCCATTTATCAAATATCAAATGAATAACAGAGGAAACAATCACAACAAATAACAAAGCTGGCGATTGGACAACAAGCTGGGCATAATCAAACTGAAACTGTCACAAAATGGACAGCAACCGTAGACACAAGAAAATGCCACAAAATGGACAAAACACCACAAAATGGACAGCACATGAGCAACACCCAAAATAAATTGAGCTGGAACGAGACTGAAGGCCGAAATACCGAGCTGAAAATGTCCCAAAAAATGGACAGCAACTGACCAAACGGGATCGACACTGGCGATTGGCACTAACCTCGTTGCAGGCGGCGCGGACGAAAGGTGCTCCTGACCCAAGAAACCCTAGCGCGAGCAGCGACTGCAGCTCAGGAACCTTTTGCAGACACACCTTGAGAAGCAAATCAGGAAAAGGGTCTTTCTGGGTCTGAGGTGACCAAAGAAAACGAGCAGAACTGGAGAAGAAAACCGGCGGGCAGACGCGAGGCTAGGGAAACGCCGGTCGGTGCGGACGCCGGGGAGACACCGGTCTGGGCAGGAGGTAAGTCAAAAGAAGTTTTCTCCAAATGGGTTACCAAAATGGAACCCTAAAACAAAAATTCGAAACCCTAATTTCTTCCTGTGTTTATGCAAGAATCAAGCAATGAATTTTTTTGCAATCCTAAGCTCTGATACCATGAAATACGACTCACGAGACAGAGGAGGGAATTATATGGTATTTCTTATTCAAACATAAATCCCTTAGGTTTACATATATACACAAGTCTAATAGTATTTACAAGACAAGTCCCTGTAGATAACATTCTATACAACAGGGTATTATATGTTTACTCTTGTAACAGGAATGAAGTCACTGTTAGCTGCGAAATTTCTTATTTCCCAAGGGCTGCTCTAATTGCTTTCTGTTTTGAGGTATATAGTGATGTCTAGATTACGCAGCTCAATCTTTGCTGGGCACACTCTTGGATATCGTGCCATCATAATGCTGCATTTTCAGTCAAGCCCTAGATTGATGTGCTCGACTCCAATTGCTTCCTGTTTGAAATATATAAAGCTTGTTTGCTTTGGATTAAAATCTGATTTAATCTAAGTCAAAGTCAAACAATCAATATTAACCACATCTTTCATGGGTCCCACAATTTTTCAATCACACATTTCAAAAACTTCTATCACAATTTACTAAAAATCTAATTTCAATCCTCACCAAACACCCTCATAATGATTCAGTGACATGTAAATTTATCGACTCCGATGTAAATGCGTCTCTCTTATTGAACGAAACAAAGATGTGGTGTTAGTTAGAGCAGGTTTAGAAAGGGTTCTACTGATGTTATTGTCATTTGCCAAGCCTATTGATAGTTGGCACACGCCCATTTTGTGAAAAATTGGATTTGGATAGAAATAGTTGACTTTGAAGTCTCAAGTGCTCAGCAGTTCTCATTTTAAATATTCATTTATAATATCTCCTTACTAATGTTGAGCTTCAAGTTAATTGTTCAATTTCTTTCCACGTTGTCTTCTATTTTTCTAGGCATATATATAATTTAACTGCATAACAGAAAATATCTCATGCATAGTGGCTTCTGTACAGTGTGTGGCCTTTACATTGTGGATTATGTCATTGTGGAACTGATAGCCCATTCATGGTTACAGTGTACACATAAGCAAGCAGTAACTGGATGTGGTTAATACTTGACTCACGGTTTAGTGGAAATTAATCTGAATATTATGTGTAGGAAAAAAATAGAATATCCACAGTATCATACGTCATCAAGATAGTATGTTAGATTGAAACCTACATTTCCAAGCTAAAGAACAACATTGAACCAATAAATCTGAAACTGCCAAACTTCGAAAACCTGACTTGCAAAATTCGTGTACTTAAAAACAAAGGAAAACAGTAAATAGGATAAATATTAGGATACAAAAAATGGACCGAAATCATGCACTTTAGAAGTGTCTCTCTCTCTCTCTCTCTCTCTTTTGGTAGACACAGCGACACGTTTAGACATTCATATAGCATTTGAAAAGAGAGTTTCTTTTATTTATTAGAGATCATGTAATGTAACAATCATAGCAAAATAAAAAATAAAAAATCTAGGCCTTAACTATTTTTATATTTGTTGCGAGAGAAAGTGGTAATAGAAGATCTGTTTCTGGAAGCTTTGTCCATGATCTGCGACACAATGCACATTTAATCTTGCAAGAGAAACTAATATTCAACGATCAGTTTCACTCAATTTGGTATTTCTATTTGCAGATAATAATTTATTAGCCAAAAAATGCATTGATTTTGTCTATAACCTTTTCCATTTATGATGTGGACTCTTTTGTACATGTATCAGCCTTGGAATCCATTTCTTTCCTACAGGTCGCGTCGGATATAAGTTTGCATCATTCTGGAACAGAAATCATGCACTGAGAGCATTACAACGTTCACTAAATAACTATCATGCAATGTTAGAAGCTGAGAAGAAGGTATGATCCTCTGCTTTTGTTAAGTCTTCTTTATGATAAATTAATAGGAATCTTCTTAATAGGATTACAAGAAATTTGATATTAGAGGATAAAGATGTCCTCTTAAGACTTGCGAAAAAGTTGGAACAGAAAGAACAATTCATGATCCAGTGAGAGCTCCTTGAGCAATTTGGTTCTGAAAATGTCTGTAGTGTCTTTGGGACCCCAAAAAAGTTACATTGCAGCAAAATGCTGCACTTATTAAAAATTGCTTATAATCTTCAAACCACAATACCACCGGATAGTCTGGAAAAATTCCTTAACTTTTCCACAATTAAATATTCTCGTATTACTGTAAACATCTGCACCATGAATTTCAAGCAAAAGCTGAAATGAAAACTAGATGTTCATGACTTTCCCTGTGTCTTCACATTGAAGTTCTAATATCTTGTTCTATTGAGCCTTTATTTCTGCATCAAATCTTGTTAACCACCTTAAGACCCGTTAACCAAGTAAATATTTTGTCATAGAGGAAATTTGTTTCCCAAAAAAAAAAAGAGGTAAAAGGAATCTCTAGAGGTAGTATCAGAGTCTAGGGAAGATAAAAAATATTTAGAGGAAAAGATCTCACGTCCTAGTTTCACTCACTTTCAGTGAGATAGTGTGGCACTGTGGTTCATCATGTAGGTACGTTTGACTTAAAAACCAGTTGGCAATAAATAAACAAGCTGTCTCAGGTCCTGTGGAAGGTGATATTATACATATATCAATCTTAATTTGCACAAGGAGAGATTACTAAGAATAATGTGCAGTAGTTGCACAGCAAAGAACAATGTGCATTACCAGTACAAGGAAAGTGATGTCAGACTCGTGATACTCACATAATTAGATCTGTTGGATCAGTTTTTCCTTTCGCCATTGTGGACGAGTGTTTGGAGATTAAAGGAACATATGACTTGGATGTTAAATAGACTATACTACTTGTACCAAGTACTTCTATCTGCTTCTATAGCTTCTGCTCAGAAGATATTGCTGGACTAGAACGCACTACAGAATAATCTATCTCCCATTATTGTTGTTGGCTAATGTGTGCATCATGTAGCAGCATATTTTGACTGTTTTGGGTTTTTCATTAGAAAATTGTTTCTGTTACTAGGAATGTGATGAGGGGTCTTCTCATCTTTGCAAGTGTACACCTCCTCTGTATGGCATTGTTATGATAAACAATCATTTGATTCTGGTGATTTGATGACATGGACTGATTTCAAGAAATGTTGTAGTTTTTCTATTTCCGTCCTTGACTACTGAAAATATCAGGTGGTATATTTTGAATGTGTAGGTTTCTCATTAAAATATTAATTCCGTTTCTAGGAATTGGACATACGGAGTGGTTCCATAGATGAGATGTTTGCACATTTTCTATAGTAATTTTTTACTTACATGATAGTATAGTAATAAGCAGTGACGCAACATGTGTGATTTGAAGAACTGGATCTGATTCAAGAACATGTTGTGCTTTTCCAAAGGACTTGGTAGAATTTGAAACAATATCAAATCCTCACACATATGGAGTAATTTTAATTGCTTTGCTTCTGAGCAAACTAACAAAGATTGACTAGTTATTAAAGAAGTCTGATCATGTGATTATATTTGTGCCAGTAATATAAGATGAATAGTGCATTGTAGTGGTGAGTTGCTAATTCTCTACCCCATTATTACATTTCTGATCTGATCTGCTTCAATGGTTTGAATATCTCCTACACTGATTGATTTTTATTGGAGTACACAGGAAAAGGAGCAGTCAGCATTGCGTGCTCATAGCAGCTCCACCAGAGGCGGTAGGGGTCAATCTAAGGTTTCGGAGGACATTCTGCCCAAAACTGAAAAGTTTCAACCATTCATCAAAGAGGAAGTGCTTTCTGGCATTTACAATGTATACATGACCCAACCCTTTTCGTTCTTTTTGTATCCAAATATAGCCTCATATGGATCAAATTGGTTCTTGTTTAACAAAATGATTTTGCAGGATGTCTTTCCATGCACGGCAGAGCAATTCTTCAAATTTTTGCTGGATGATGATTCCAATTTTACAAATGAGTATCGTACAGCTCGACGGGATACTAATCTCTCCGTAAGTAACAATGTCTGGCTGGAATTGTTGAATAATCAACTTTTGGTCAATAAGAACAACTGGATAGTTTTATATCAGACTCTTGTCTATGTAAACATCAGCATGCCTACTACTCAACAACACACCTCCCCGAAAATGTGCAGGAAAAAAAAACAGATTTATCTAGTCAACAATTGCTTGTGACTCACTTTGCATTGCCAATAAAGCTTCACCGAAGACCAGCATAAAAATTATATAGGCCTAAATTAGGCACTCTCTGTTCTGAAGCCTAAAGCTTCATGCAGACTAATGGACTGCAATAGATGGCTGGCATAGTGTCACCATAATCTACATCCTGTAGGTAAAAGAAAAAAGACAAAGTATGATCTGCATCCAACTGATGAAGATTTGATCAAATTGTTATTAAAGAAATTGTTTTTTACTTCCTCAATTATTTCTACAACTATGCAGAGGTCTAACCAACTCTATGTCAGCATTTTTTTAATTCACTGGATTTAGCATCTTCAAGAAACCATCTCGAATTTACTGTTATGCTAACTTCAGATGGGTCAGTGGCATGCTGCTGATGAGTATGATGGTCAAGTTAGAGAAATTACTTTTAGATCCTTGTGTAACAGTCCTATGTGCCCTCCGAATACAGCAATGACAGAGTGGCAGCATGCTGTCATGTCAGCAGATAAGAAAACTCTGGTGAGACCATTTATTTCTTATTATCAATTTATTTGGGTAGTTTCTTGTACCGTCATGTTGATAATTTTCTTTTACATTTTTTTAACAATTTTATTAGGTGTTTGAGACTGTACAACAGGCACACGATGTTCCATTTGGTTCATATTTCGAGGTACGTTAATGCAATTATTCAATCAATTTTACATTTTCTTTACTATCAATAAATGAAGATCAAGAACATATTAGAATATTATAGATACTGATCATCTCTAACTTCAGGATTTTGGGTGGTGAATGATTTTTTTTTCTTTACTTTTGTGCTGTGGGTCCATCTTTTCTTAATGTCCTGCCCCTGAATTTATCTCTATGTAAATATGTTTACTGCGTCAGGTTCATTGTAGATGGTCTTTGGATACAAACTCTGAGGCCTCATGCACTTTGGACATTAAAGTTGGTAAGTTTCTTCTGTTTTTTAATCCTCTGGTGTTGTAGTTCTTCAACTTGTGTAATGCTATATCTACCAGAGGTTTTCCAAAAACATATATAAAATCTGGCAAATGCACAGAGGTTGCTTAAATTAAATGGGACATGTGCATCAAAATCCGCGCATTTAGCCATTGCAATGTCATTTGGAGGATGCCTTTCGTACATATTTATAGATAAGAAAGTATTTGTCTGTCACTTCGCAAACTTACAGCAGTAATCTATACAATAATCTTTTGTTTCTTGTCTCTCTTCTTCCCTTTGTTCCTCTTGAAACAAGAATTATTTTTGTTTTCGTTACTCCATCAGTTGTTACCATCTTCACCCATCAATGGGTGAATTTCTGTTGCTTGGATTTAATTCCATCTAACTCATCTTGGTTGGACGAGTTCAACGATTTAATTAACTTTCGGCTTGAAAGCTCTAGTCAAGCAGCATATTACCTTTAATAGTCCTGTCTGAGCTGTTAATTCTCTGTATCTAAAAAATGTTAATGAAGTAACGAGCTTTTCAGTGTATGTAAAAGCAAATTAACTCTTAGCTGGGATCAAACAACATAAGAATAACTTGAAATTTTTAAACAAAAAATATTCGTTCACAATAAATTAGGTATAATTTACAAAGAGCTCCCAATATTAGATCGTTAAATCCGTTGGGTGGCCCACATATGCCTTCTATATTCCCCAGTCAGTTATTCATCCTTTTCTTGGACTGCGAACTGGATAATTGCTGACATATCCTTGTAATCAACGTTTCTAACTGAAACTACGTGCATTATTTGAATAATGTAGAGAAGTGAATATCAGTTGGGTTCTTTCTATAAGAAGTTTTTTTATGTTTCGGTCTGAATTCTTCTTGCACCTGCTTTTAGTTAAGTTGGAATCCATGGACGAACTCAGTTCACTTTAGTCTAAAGCCGTTGGATTTTAATTACTTGAGCTACTTCCATCTGCTGTTCTTGTTTCCATAACCAAGTTCAGCGTATCATTTCATGCTGATTCTTTGATCAACTTCATCCAACTAATTACGTCCGTGTTCAATTTCTGTACACCATCTTTACGCATGTCATATTCTATTCTAATCCCTTAAAACACTTCTGCTTGATCAATATGGAGATTTCAAATTTTCACGATCCTCACAGGTGCACATTTCAAGAAGTGGTGTGTGATGCAATCTAAAATAAAAGCTGGTGCAATCAACGAGGTATGTATTGCTTTTGCTATTTACCCTTTTTGCATGTAATTGTTCTATCGATCAATTTTCTGCAACAAGTTCATTATAATGACTCCCAACGTTGCAGTACAAGAAAGAAGTGGGTATAATGTTAGAGGTTGCTCGTTCCTATATTAAGTCGAAGACCTCTGGTGGCGAGACAGATAATATTGCCTCTTCTCCCATTATTCAAGAGAATAGATAACTGATTATACATCCCGGTACTAATGACTTCAAGTTTTGAGTTTTCTCTACATCATTTATACGTATCACATCGTAAGCAACTGAGGTTGATGGTAATTCACTCAATCCTTTGTATTTCTGTTTTGTGTGTATTTCCACCCTATCTCCTTTGTAGAGAACTAGCGGTGTGCTTCTGTAATTTATATAGAATATACTAGGTTATAATAGTACGATTTTTTTGACTTTCTTTGTATTATTATAGTTTCTGTAAGTGATTATTCAGAATATATAACTTCATTTTATTTATTCCAATAAGGCCGTCATATTCGTCTCCCCTGGCCTCGTTACTTAACAATTGTTTGCATTAAGTTACTTTTATATTATTGAATTTTGAAGATTATTACCGTACTATAGTCTGAGATGGTAAATAATCTGCAGTGTCTTTCTGTTTGCAGAGAGAATGAAAAATAGTCATTCTTTACCATTTTTCCGTTTTACAATTACATCGACAATTGAATGGTCGAGTTGGTTTAATGTAGCTCGACCACCTTGACTACTAGCTCGAGTACATATGGACTACCGAGTCGAAGTGGTCAAGGTGAATTCTTTTTTTTTTTTATTTTTTTTTTATTCAAGGACATGGTGGAAATAGAAGTCGCCATTTTAAAATTAGACATTTGACATAAAAGGTTTTTTAAACAAAAAAAAATCGGAAGAATGCCATTAAAAGAGATTTATTTTGAAAAATTGCCCGATTTGAAGTGCTAGAAGAACAGAATGTATATTGGAATTCGAGAAATTTATATGGTTCCATTGTTCCTTGAAAATCCCATACCAAAACTTTGATTTGATGTTGAGACTCCACCGCCAATAACGAGCAAAACAGTCAAAATCGATGCACAATTTCACTATAATCCAGCCAAAATTGTTTCTACAAATAATTATCAACTCAAATTAGAATAAGAAGATGCAGCATGACTGGGTTTAGAAGCAGATTGAACCATGATATGCCCCAGCCCCATGCGCCAAAATGTTGCTACTCTTGTACATAAACTACCCCCATCAACCCCAACCTCCTCTATTAAGTTTGGCACCACAAAATCACCACATTTTCGTCGTCAAGAATCACCACTACTCGGATATGAAAAATGAAAAATTTAAATTAAGAAAAAAAAATTCAAATTTGGGGATGAATTTTGGCCACCTCTAACATCAATATTTTAGTCACCGATAAACATAACAACAATTCGAATATGAAAATGTAAATGAAAATATCAATCTCAAGACAGGAAATGGAGAAATTTCAGCTTTAGAGATGACATTATCAATTATCATAGTTCATTTATAAAACTTCGGATTTAGGAGAGGTGTAGGGAATTAATTTTGGAACCAAATGCAAAAGTATATTCATCTTCTTCAACCTCTTGTTTGAAATTACGAAGTACCTAAAATTTGACAAGTAGGCAACAGAGTTTAAAGGAAAATCTTAGCAACATAACTTTAAGAATTTCCATTTCAAATCCTGTGGTCTGCGGAGAGGAGCGCGGTGGTGGAGGATTAGGATTAGTGAGTAATTAAATTAAAATTAGAGTTTGTCAATTATTAATACAATAGAAATATGGTGTTTTTGGTTGAGTACTTTCTTAAGTAGGTTAAAAGTTAGGATAATTCTATTTGTACCGAAAATGTCACACCCTCTCACATGCGCGTGAGTCCGCATGAATAAAAAATTCTCAAATGTGTGGTTTCACGCCCCATTGTGAGTGTAGGTAAAATATTAGGTAAAAAAAAAAGTGTACATGTAGCATTGTTTCAAAAGTTAACTAAATCAAAAAAAGGCAAATTTTGATTTTTTTTTTTGAAAAGGAGGAGGTATGTGTGCTAATTTTCCCAAATTTTATCGATACCAAGTTGTTCGAGCCAATCCAACCTAAGCTATACACAGACAATGTTGGGCCTCCCACTTCTTTGCCGAGTCGACCTACCCAACCCGAAATAAAATAGTAAAATACAGATGGTCCTAAGTTTATAAGCAGCTCGAAGTCTCGATCTAATTTTTAGATAACTTTGCATCTATAGTCCTTGGTGAACAGTGATACACAAGAATTGACAGGAAAATACACAACAGAATGTGCAAGAACACGATGGGTTTGGTATTATTATTTGCATTTTTCATTGGTTTCGCTCGAGCAGATCAGCATCTGAGCACCAAAGAATGTGAAAATCTGGGTTTCACGGGCCTTGCTCTATGCTCCGATTGCCACACCTTTGCTGAATACATCAAAGATCAAGGTACTATATAATTTCTATCTATATATTTTCTTCCAGTTTATTTAGTTACTGGGTTTTGAAGATGATGTAGGATTCCTCAAAATTGTGTTTGTGTGGGTTTCTTCTTTGATTGCTATGGTGATTTCCACCCCCACCCCCACCCCCACCCCCAAAAGTTCCTTCTTTGGACCCTGAAGATCCCCAATTCCGTGACGCAAGATATTTGTTAAACGTTTTCATTATTGGGTTACTCTAAATTGTATAAAGTGGAAATTACACTAAATCAGCTGTTTAATTTTGACTTTTAAAAAATCAAGTTTTTACTTTATTTAATCAAAAATCAGGTTTTAATTTCTCAATTAATATTAATAATAATATTTTTAAATTAAATTAAATATATACCCATCCTACTACCTACCCCACCAACTTTATTTAAATATAAAACCCAACCAAAACCTAATTCATTCCATTTCATATCTCCCATCTTTACCGACGCCTCC